CATATTTAACGCCTCGTCTCTGTATTTCTTATACCCCTGTGCTGACATATTTAACGCCTCGTCTCTGTATTTCTTATACCCCTGTGCTGACATATATAACGCCTCCTCTCTGTATTTCTTATACCCTGTGCTGACATATTTAACGCCTCGTCTTTGCATTTCCTATACCTTGTGCTGATATATTTAACGCCTCGTCTCTGTATTTCTTATACCCCTGTGCTGACATATATAACGTCTCCTCTCTGTATTTCTTATACCCTGTGCTCATATATTTAACGCCTCGTCTCTGTATTTCCTATATCCCTGTGCTGTTATATTTGACGCCTCGTCTCTGTATTTCCTATATCCCTGTGCTGTTATATTTGACGCCTCGTCTCTGTATTTCCTATACCCCTGTAGTGATGTATTTAACGCCTCGTCTCTGTATTTCCTATACCCCTGTAGTGATGTATTTAACGCCTCGTCTCTGTATTTCCTATACTCCTGTAGTAATGTATTTAACGCCTCGTCTCTGTATTTCCTATACCCTGTGCTGTTATATTTGACGCCTCGTTTCTGTATTTTCAAGTTACGGATACTCGATTTTACTAATATGACACTTAGCATTATGCGCGTATCAGGGCGAATTCGAATACAAAATTTCTTAACAATCTATGTTACTTCAACGCTATTAACGGACTTGTTATGAAATTAGAAGTCTTCATATAAATATATATTTACAGCTCAAGATTACTTCAGAAGTGCCACTTTATAATATAACACACACACATACAAAAAGGTCCAGTTTTGTGGATCATCACAGGAAACAGTCTCCAGAAACATTATGAACTTTAAAACCACATTTTATGCAGAACCTATCTTTTTTTTTCTTGAAATACGCAGCAAGTACGAAGGTAATTCTTAATATCTGACAACATTAAAATTAAAAACGGCATTTCTTTCCGTTGTACACAATTTTCCAAAAAACAACAACAAAAAACCCTCAAAACGTAGCTGGAATGTTAATTAGAAATATCACATTTTGTTTAATCTCTTTCTCCAGTCTTTCAATATTTGTCTTTGTTCTGTTGAATAGTCTATGTGTTCGACCATTTTCCTCGAATGCAAAAGATCAACGTTACTATTAGATGACGAACTGAGTTTGTATTAATATTAAAACTTTACATGGTCCAATTTACAAAGGCACAAATTTCTTAGCTTCAAATAAAGCACCCACAAGTTGAATTAAAATTTTCCTATGTCAGAAATTTGAGAGCTATAACAATACTGTTAAACACAGGTCAAGAGTAAAATTGGTTCCATTCAACCACAGAATCAGTAATGATTTCCGAAATAGAAACTACGCATAAATATACGAATATGAATAAAATTATTAGTATGAAATGACCAATTCAATAATTATTAATTATATGACTTGGTCACTGTATTTCCTGAGAAACAGGCTTACCAGGAACACATCTTACAAAGCTTAATCAGGAGCAATCAACAAACAATTAGATTACTCATAGATAGAAAATGTCATTCTCAACTGCAAGTACTATATATTTGTGAATAATCTCTTTCCCATGTTCAGTGTAAGATATTGTAGAAGTTGAAGAACAAATTTAAAATCCATGTTTCGCTATAATTTCAGACACTTAAGAATATTTTTAAGTGTTGATTGAATGAATAGTGGTGAAGACCTGAAGAAAGAATCAGTGTGGAGCTTTCTCAAAATCAAAGTAGAAGTCTGAAAAAAATAACGTTAACAAAGTCTGAAGGAATGTCATAGTTCTTGAACTCCAAGTAATTTAGCTGCCGAATCAGCAGAGTCAAGCATCTTATCAATAATTGTTGAATCTTGGATTCCCAAGAGATTCTGGATCAAAGTATTCCCATCATTTGTCTCCGTGGTACTTTCCTGGGAGTTCTTATTTGTAGATGAAACTTCCTTTTGAACAGATAATGCGCGTGTGGCAGTACATTCCGATATGGGATGATCCAAACTTTTCGAACGAGGCAATAGGTACAGTAAAGAGTTTTGACTTGGCTTTTTGCGAGATCTTAATTTTGATCGAATGCTATATTTCAGTGGTGGACAGTCTTCATCTGTACTATCCTGAAGAGCTGTAGATCCATGTTTTTGATGTTTTCGGTGATGCCGTGTCATACTGTGCTTCAGGGAGAACTTACGATGACAAATACCACAAGCATAGGGTCTCTCGCCAGAGTGCGTTCTCATGTGTCGTCGTAAGTCTTCTGTTGACCAAAAACGACGTAAACAAAAAACACAAATGACTTTTCGTTGAATATAATCCAACTGCTTGTTTTTGGAGCCATGTTCTTCATCCTCATTATTATTATTCAAAGCGTTCATGTCTATCGATGAGGGTATCATGACCTCTTCTGATCTCTGTTGGGCTAACGCTCCTTTACTTATTAACAGCTGGTATTCAGAGTTATGGGCGAGCCTCAAGTGGTCAAGACAATCTTGCTTCTTGTCATAGGAGGTGTCACACAGGTGACATTTATAGGGTAAATCCACATATTGTCCTACGTGGGTTTCAAGATCTTTACGCGAAAGAAAGGTTTTATCACAGCAATGAGAGTGGACATCGTTCACATTTTTATGTTGTTTTGAATCTGAACCAGAAACATTACCTTCTATCTCTATTTCGCTATAATTAACCAATTCTTCTCGTTCTTCCTTGCACGCTGTCACAATGGCAGACTGATTTTCACAACATTTACAATTATTCACTTCGGAATCTGAATGGCGAGGTCCAAAAAAGTTTCCTTTTTTGGTCCAATGCTTCAAGTAGTAGTGCTTTCTTAGGTTTCCTGGAGTGGAAAACGTACTACTTTGGCACTGATTGCACTTAAATAATCTTTCCGGGACAGTTCTCGATTTAATATCATTGTTACGAGTATGTTTACGAATTAAGTGTCTTTCACAATTCGACTTTGTGGTGAACCAAGTTGGACATCGAGGGCACTTAAAGGGTTTTTGGCCAGTGTGAGTTAAAATATGTCGACGCAGAGAACTTGTCCAGGGAAATTTTCGTGAGCAAAAGGGACAGGAAACACTATTTGGAGAATCTATACAGTAACTTTTATTTTTAAAAACAGAAGTGTTGCTAACAGATTGTGTGATCTTCTGTTCTTTGTTCTCTGTTTCTTTCTTGTCAGAAATCCCACAGTTATAGCTAGATTGGTTATTGTCGGTCCTAGCATTCATCAAATATTGGCGAAATGCTTGGGAATTGGCGGTATCAATGAGTGAAGAAACGCTAGCTAAGTCTGTAGTGGCTCCTGAATCACTCGAATCTATTTTATTGGTGTTACTTATACTCGAATGATTGCCACACGACGTTTTAGCTCCTTTGTTATCATGACCTGTTTCAAAAGAAGCAGAATGTTGAGATACAATAACATTAAGCTCTTTTTGTTGATAATTCCCCATAACTGAAGCGCCTATTTGGTCTTTACCTTTCTCGTTAGCAGTTAACTCTTGTGCTTTGTTCCCAAGAACGAGAACTCTAAGAGCAGCTCTGGTTGTGCTAGAAAGAGTAGGTGGACTAGGTTTCTGCACAGAGGGGGTTAAATTGGGAATGAAATTTCGGCTTCTTGTTGGTCGTGCATGTTCTGGGTGTTTTCTTTTAATGTGCCTTTCCATGTTTGATTTTAAAGTAAAACCTGCAGAGCAGAAGGTACATGTAAATGATCTCTTGTTACGAGGTGCTAACTTGTCATTCACCATTTTGAAGGTTATATAAACATCACCTTTCTGCTTCTGAATTCTACGTCCTGATGAAGTATTTGTTGATAAAAAAGCGCTTGTGTAAGGAGAATCTGAAGATCTAGGCAGAACTTTATCTCTTTCTGTTGTCCCAACTTCAGATCCTGACAAAAGCAGAGGGGAAACATGAAACTGTTGTGTATTAGTCACAAAAGAAGATGACGATAATTCAGACCTGTTAAAACTGCTGGCTGGTTTTTCATGTTTTGGAAGATGTGATTTCAGACTTGGTTTCACACTAAGATCCAATGCATGCACGGCTAAATTCAATGGTTCCTCTTGTGGAGGAGACATGCTTGAAAGGATGACCAGAGTGTTGGCAGCTGAAACGATATCGTCTATACTACTTAGATCTGCACTATCTGCTCTACTTGGCGGTCGAGAAGTAAGTTCTAAAGGCAAGGCCAAATTCATAAATTTGTTTATTTTTGATGAAGTCTCAGACTGGGACCCGGATGATGACTTGCGGCAATCGTCTTTTTGTGGACTTTCGTCTGATAAAATAAGGGAATCTTGGTCAGACGTGTCATTTGTAACATTTGCAGACACAGCCTCACTGAGTTTCTCTTTCATATCAGGGTGTTGCTTTGAGACGTGCCTGATACAGTTGTTCTTCGTTGAAAACCCTAAATGACAGATTGTGCAACAGAAGGGCTTTCGGCTACAGCTGTTGTGTAGTGACCTCAGATGATGTCGAAGCACGCGACTGAACTTGAAGTCCACATTGCAATACTTACATACACTCGTCTTTGTATTAACCTCTTTGGGTGACTTTAGTTCAGCCATATTGGGATTGTATTGCATAGCATTTCGAATCTCCGTCTTGTTGGCCTTTTTATGACGTTTTCTGACGTGACGTTCACAGTTGGCTTTGGTAGTAAAGGCATACTGACATATACCACATTGGAAAGGCCTCTCCCCATTGTGAGTTCGTAAGTGACGGATCAGTGTGCTTTTGTCTAAACTGGTATAGGAGCACATGGAGCAGGAGTAAGTTGTACTTTCCTGTGAGTGGCATCTTGTGTGTTTTTTGAAAGTACTTGCACTTTTGAAGGTAATGTTACAATATTCACAAAGAAATCTTCCATTTTCATGAATTTGAAGTTCAGTTTCTGGTTCAGTGTCAACATTTGTCTTCTTTATGGAGTAGATCAGGTCAGTTTTAGATGGAGAAGAAGAACTGACTGTGGCTGTGTTGACTGCCAAAGGGGATTTCGATAAGATGCTAGTGATAGGGCGAGGTTGTGAAGAAAGTGGGGGAGCTACATGGGAAGAATGAATGTTGAACAACAGCGGTGATTTAGAAGTAACAGACAGAATTGATTGAATATCAGCAAAGTCACTAGCTGGTTCAATGGCCAATCCCTTTAGAACTTCTTTTTCTGATTTTCCATAAATGAAATACGATGGATTCTCAAAAAGCCCTTCTCGAATCTCACGATTTGATGTTGATTTCAATGCAACTTCGAATCCCTTACTCTGTAGTTCTAGCAACGCAAGGAAATCCTGTTTTTTAGGTTCCATATAATTTGAATCGGAATCTGTAGCATCTTTGTTTAGATGTGATTCATCAAAGCAGCTTTCAGTAGCCACATGTTTTAATCGGTGCAACTGTTCGGACAGTGGGGAATCAAAGTAGCATTGACAGCTAGTGCAATGAGTCGTCATTTCTTCATCATGGTTCATTTTATGAAGACGAAGGGCACTTTCACATGGAAATCCTTTGTTACAGTCTGGACATTGAAAACTGTGAAAGGCACTACTCGGACGTCGTTTGTTTTGCTCACAATAAGTTTTTGCAATTAAAGAAAACTTATCCAAAGAAAAATCAACAAAGGTTACATCATGAAAGCCAACAGTCGGTGGTTCAAGAGCTTTCCGTGATTCACATTCTTTAGCATTTTCCGGCGTAGTTGAACAGCGTTGTATGGAAACTGTGTTACAGTCTTTCGCGATACAAATACTGTTACTAAACGTAGGTGAATCATGAGTTGTTGTGTCCGTACTGCTTTGATGCTCGTTTAAACCCTTTTCAAAGGCGGGAAAACTACAAGAATTATTGCTGCGTTTGTCTACCGCTTCAGAACTCGTGCATAATTTCTCCATAACAGTATCTGAAGTATCATTATTTTGATCTTCATAAAGATTTCGTTTGGGCTTAGACTTACATTTAGATTCTTTTGAATTTTTTTTACCTTCTTGGTTGTTATCTGTAGTACTATGGGTTCGCATATGGCGATGCATGTTTCCGTTGGTAGTAAACGCCATGTTGCAAACTTTGCACTTGAAAGGGCGTTCTCCTGAATGGACAAGCATGTGTCGATCCAAAGAACTAGTAGAGCTGAGAGTTTTGCCACAAACACGACAAGTCCTGCTATGGTCGTTAGGGTTATGTTGACGAATATGAAAGGTAAATGAATGAGATGAATCAACCACTTCTTCACACAAAGGGCACGAGTAAAGACGTTCTTGTGTCTGTGAACATTCGAATGTGGCCTAGAACAAGAAGAACATTTAAATAAACATATCGTCAGACCAAGTAAAAAATATGCTTATCTTATGAAAAATATAGGATGTTGGTATAAACACGAGTCAAACAACTAAGCAATGACTTTTCTGCGTTTACATTATTGCATTTATTCATAACAGTAATTCAATACAATAATCAATACATGCGCGTAAGCAGGAGGGGTGCGGCGGGTGCGATCACGCTCCCCAAACTACACCTACATATGTATAACACATGTAAGATGTGAAAAAACAGCCTCATATACCATCAAAATGCACCATTTTTAATTAAAACTATAACATTTTTCCAAGGGGCCACACCCCCAAACCCTCCAGTATAGCTTCGCTACTAATTTCCATTTTCTTTAAAAAAGTAGCACCCCTCTTTTATAGATTTCTGCCTACAACTCTACTGATTGAAATATAACGTAAATAATAAGTCATTAATATGATAAAATCCTATAATAATGCAAATTGTCACTATATTTTTAGCAACCACAGCGGGTCACAAGTGTTTTTGATGTAGAAGATTTTCATAAATATCATTAAACACCTTTTCTTCGGCTCCTTCTTCGGTCGGAGACGTTTTGTTTCCACCTCTTTCTATTGCTGACAGATCGTGACTTGATTCTTCGTTTGATACGTATTTTTTCTTGGAAGCCTTGTTTATTTTCTTAATGATTATATTTTTCTTTTCCATCAACCTATTTTCTTCATTTCTGTCTGGATCCACTAATTTGACTTCACCAGTGGATGCTTTGTTTGTTTCTTTCAGAGAAGAATAACAAAAGAATTAAATTTCTCATGAAAATTACAAGTTTATTCATAAATCCCATATTCTGTTCATTTGCCTTTTAAAAATGGTGTGAACAATAACTCTGAAAAAACGTCACTTTCAACACTGACATAACTTTTTTTTAATCTGTTACCTAATACATAAATATAGCTTAATTATTCACTTTATATATCATAACGATAATTATATTTATATTATCCTGAGCAAAGGTACACTAGTATACTAATGAAAGAAAGTTGGTTGATAGTTTGTTTGTTTTGTAATTAAGCACAAAGCTACACAATGGGCTATCTATGCTCTGCCCACCACGGGTATCTAAACCCGGATTCTAGCGTTGTAAGTCCGCAGATATACCGCTGTGCCATTGGGGGCTTGATTGTTTGTAATTTAGTACAAGCTATACAATGGGCTATCTGTGCTCTGCCCAACACGGGTATTGAAACCCGGTTTCTAGCGTTGTAAGTTCGCAGACATACCGCTGTGTCACTAGGTGGCTAATGAAAGTTACATTTCATTAAATGTAGCCTAAATAAAATTGTCGGAACAGAAAAAATGAGCTAAACACGAAAACAAGCAAATTGCAAAGAATGTGTTATATACGCCCCCTAGTGGCACAGCGGTATGTCTGCGGACTTACAACGCTAGAAACCGGGTTTCGATACCCGTAGTGGGCAGAGGACAGATAGCCCATTGTGTAGCTTTGTGCATAATTACAAATAAACCGGTTTCCTAATGCAGAAAACATTTAAATATTCAAATAAAAGACTCGTTTTAGTCTTTTTGTTTTAAATACAAATTTGTAAAGAAGCTTTTAACTGTTTCGATTCAATTTTTTATCCAATAACTACGTACGAACACTATAAACATACAACTCCAAAATTTAAGCTATTTCCAAAATCTATTAAGACACACACCTCTATCATTCAAATTATGATTTTTTTTCTGCAAGTCTCTGCCCGTTTTTCTCTTTTTCTTTAGTACTGCTCGTTGCTTCATGACATTCGCTGGTGCGCTACGTAGTAGTTGGTGCTGGTAAGCAAGCACCTTTTGTCTCTGTTGATCTGGTACAAGTGAGTGATCCCTTCAAATAACACAGGCCAGTATTGTCTCTTGGTGGTCCTCTTCGTAAGGAAGATCTGTAATAAACAGAGTACTTGAGAACGATTTAAAACGTTTTTTTCTTCATCTTTATGAAAGAGTTTTTCCTAAATAAATATATATAAATATAAAAAGTGTGCAAAAACAGCGATATTTGAAACCTTGAAATACTAACCAGTGGTTGCTGAAACTTAAATAATTTATCAATCATTTCAAAACCTAAGTTTTCCTTACTTCTAGTCTGAATTCGGGCTTAGCATGGCCTGGTGGTTAAGGCGCTCGACTCGCAACCTAAGGGTCGCGGGTTCGAAATCACGTCACACCGAACATGTTCGCCCTTTCAGCCGTGGGGGCGTTATATCATGACGGTCAATCCCACTATTCATTGGTAAAAGAGTAGGATGGTGTTGACTAGCTGCCTTCCCTATAGTCTATCGCTGCTAAATTAGGGACGGCTAGCGCAGATAGCCCTCGTGTAGCTTTGAGTGAAATTCAAAAAACAAATGAATCTGAATTAATCTAAAAGAGAAGGAACGCAATAGATCAAGATCCATACCAAAAAATAAAAGCCGCTTGAAAGCCACAAATACTAATAGGAAGAAAATATAATGTTTTTTATAATTATTTTCCAAACCTTACGATTCTTATATTAGTAAACAAGTATTTTTTGTTTTTGTTTTACGAAATAAAGGTGTATGTGATTTTTAGCTAAATACCACTAAATCTTAGAGTCGTCAGCGCTCTTTTGCATATTATTTTGCAACTGTACGTTGCTGTTTGTATCGATTAGAAGATACTATTTAAGTAGGTGCAAAAAAAGAAGAGAGAAATCATTCGCTGAATCAATTGCAAGAGTGAAAATTCTATGACGATGCACTCACTAAATCCTAAATGACAATAAAAACATCCGTAAACTTACCACTGACCCACCGGGGCAAAAGGTGGTATTCATATATTACTCATAAAAAAGTATTAGACAATATAGTCATGATGTCATCACCAGCTGTGTTAGGACTCGTTCTTTCATGAGAGGACATGTGCTTTGTCAGTTGGGACTTGGCAGTGAGGTTATCTGCATCCATATAAACATAAATTTTATTAGTTGGGTCCTGGTAGTGAGGTTGTCTGCATCCATATAAACATAAATTTTATTAGTTGGGTCCTGGTAGTGAGGTTGTCTGCATCCATATAAACATCAACTTTG